GGGTTTTTTTTGACACTGGCTATAATAAATATCAGCACATTTAGAAAAAAAAAAAAAAAAAATCTGTGGGCTTAAAGGGAGAAAAAAAAGCTACAGCTGAGTGTGGTTCACTAGAAGGAAATATCCAAGGCTGTTGAAACATTAGAGAAAAAAATGATCTTGAAATGTCAGGAATCAGTGAGGAAAACAACTGTCAATTTTGTCCAATAAAACCTCCCTTTTATTTTGCCTATTTTCTCTTTTATTTTTAATAGGTATCCATTAAAAATGCTGCGCTCACAATTTGCTGGTATTTGCTGTTCTGTTTTAATGGTGTCTATTAATTCTTCCCTCCTTTCCTTTTAATATTTACACATATCATCAAATACTGGGCAAAATATCTCTGCTGAAAAAAAAAAAAAATCCCATGAGTGTAAACCAATTACAAATAACTTGCTACTGAGGGCATGGCTGGGCTTTCTGTGCTGCTCCAGTGTCCCATTGAGTTTCAAGTAGCTGAGGACCCTTTTATATTAGAAATAATCCATGTTAATTATCATTTGGTGCACTGTTATTTCTTAACTTCATCAGAAAATAGCACAACTGCCCTGAAAAAAAAAAATAACAGTTATGCCTTAATAAATAACTGATAATGAGGGGAAAAATAGTGGCCAGGAGCATCAGTTTGACATAAGCTTCTCCAGCCTGAAGGATTCCAGCTGGAAAAGCCCAGTTTAAAGTTCTTACTCTTCCTCCATTTCATGTGCACCCACCGATGCTTATGCAGCTCAAATAATCCATGCCTGTACTTTATATATGGCATGGCAAATGCCAGCAGTGTATGGAAAACAGGATCCAGCCTTCAGCAGAGCAGCCAGAACGGGATGAAGGGACCTCAGCAGCACCTGAGCCTTGGGCTGAGCTCTGCCACTGCAAACAGGACCCTCCAGCACTCAGGGGAGCCTCTGCAGTGGCTTGAGGGGGACAGGACAGCGCCCTGCATGCAATTTGGGACCCCTGGTAGGGAGACTGTGCTGATTCAACAGCAGGTTGTGGTCCCTAAAACACCACTGGGACAATGTGACAGAAATTTTACAGATATAGGCTCTTCCAGAGAAGGGCTAGAGGTAAATTCCAGCTGATGATTATGTTTCTCTGTCTGTGTTTGATAAATTAATTAAGGAACAGGGAGGGAATAAGAAAAGTGAAGCCTCATAAACTGCTTCACTAGCTGCTGCACAGAGAAGCCTCTCAATTATGATTTTCCTCCATCAACATTTTTAAAACCACCAACATTTTTCTTCTTAAATAATTTCTAATATAATTTCTAATAATATAGAATCCCAAGGATATTTGAAAGGCTCCCTAAAAATAAAAGGGGGAGGGGAACCTCAAAATTGAATATGAAGACACCGTGCAGTACAGAAATCTTAAGGAGAGGGGTCATCAGAGCAGGGAAGGAGGTTAAGCTGAGCTTTGAGCCCAGACTAATGGCATGAGCAGAGTCAGCCTCTGCAGCTGGGAGTGTTTCTGCCCAGGGCCACTCTCTGTGTGCTGGAGAGTCCAGCTCTGTGCTCTGCACAGCTCGGGCTTTCCCAAAATCCCAGGATTTCCATCTTCCACTGAGGAGGCCCCCAAGGCAGGGAGAGCCATGGGATATTCCCTCTGAGCCCTGGGCCTTGCCCTGCTCCTGGAGCATCTCTCCCTGGAGCACTGGGCTGGCAGCTCGGCCAGCCAGGAGATCCCACCAGGGATGAATGAGCAGCACATCCCACTGGGGCCTCCCTGCTCCCCCGGACACCCTGGGCATCCCACAGCTCCTCCTGCCCCCAGAGCTGGCAGCTGGAGGTCATCCCCGACTGCCCAGCAGGGCTGGCCAGGGTTTTTGGGCAGAAGTGCAGCTGGAGCTGTATCCAAACCCTCCCAGCACTCGGACCCAGCAGCTCCAAACTACTCCCAACCTTAACAAAACACAGTGAGCAGGGAAGCAGCTCCCATTTGTAATAATTACAGCAGCGATTCCCTCGCCCTTGCACTATTTATTGCTTTTGCCCTTGCCATGGATTGCTGGAGACAGAGATACTATTAAAGCTCAGAATATTTCTTTCTGGACTGGCAGGGTGAGCTTTGGGAGAAAACTCACTCTTTTCTCTCCACCATTGCCAGTTCTGGGAAGGGAAGGGGAGGGAAGGGTTCCCACTGCAGGCTGCCTGGAGCACTCAGTGCCTGCTGAGCAGGGACTGCAGCGGGGAGAACGTTCTCTCCTGCTGGAAACAGAGCCTTGTAAGGATATTTCTGCAAGGCACAATAATTGCCCAAGTATCCACCTCTAAGTTGGGTCTCCCTCCCTTATTCTCAGAAGAAAAGATGAATTTCAGTGATGACAACTGAGGCTGGCAAGAGGCAGCCGAAGGGCATCAGCCAGCTCCCACCCTGCTGACAGCATCCCCACAGCTCCAGGATGGGCTCTGGCAAGGAGATAGCTCTCTTGCCAATAATAATAATTATCATTAATAACCGAGTGACGTCCTAATCTTGGTTACATCAGCCGTAGCCTTCTCTGGAGCTGCTGCCTGTCACACTCACACCGGTCCTGTCCCCAGCAGGGAGTGCGGAGCACAGACACAAGGGCCGGGAGCTGCTGTGGCTGGAGGGAGATGCGGGGGATGGCCCGCGGTGACTTCTGCCTCCTGGCTGAGGGGACAAGGGGACATGGCCCGGACAAGCCCCGGGAGAGCCGCGTCTCTGTAGCGATTTGAGTCTCCTCAGCCCTCTGGGCAACTGCGGGGCATAAAGGATGGAAAGGGAGCTGGGGGCCATCCCCTTCTTTCTCCTGCCCGGGGCATCCCGCGGCTCTGTCCCGTGTCACAGCCGGGCAAGGGGCACAAGGGTGTCCGTGTGTCCCCCCTGCCTGCGGGGGGACCCGGTGGGATGTCCGTCCGTCCATCCATCCCCGCAGCGCTCCCTGCTCCGCATTCCGGGTCCATCCCTCCCCTCTGTCAGCCCCTCCGCACATCCCGACGGCAGGAGCCCTGGCAAGGAAAACGAGCGATATTCGGGGGCATTTGGGGAAAGTTGCAAGGTCAGGGCTCCCGTCGCGCATCCATGGGGACGGGGAGGGGCTGAACCCCAAACCCAGCGCGGTTTGCTCCCTTAGGTCGCTTTCCTGAGTTGCTGCCAAACCCGCCGTGCGAGCTTGTTGCAAGAACAAACTGTTGTGATTCCCCCTTTGGCCCTTTTTTTCCCCGCCTCCCCCCCCCCGCATTCCGAACGGGGGGTGTCAGTGCACGGAGCCTGCCGTACCCCATGTCGCTCCCGCGTCAGAAAATGAATGATGCAGCAATTTAATTAGGAGGGAGCGGTGCGTCCATATTGCACCGGTGGAGGAGAGCTCGGCAGCCGGGGGAAGATGGTGCGCGTCCGCGGGCGCGGAGGCTGCGCCCCTGCCCGCGCAGAGCGGCCCCGGGGCGGCGGGACCCCGCGGAGCCCCCGGCACCTCCGGCCCGCACCCGCGGCTCTGCCCCGCAACTTTTTGCTACCGAGCCGCGGTTCCAGTTAAGTCTCTGCCGGCCGAGCCTCCGCGGGGTGCGGGAGGGGGATTGGGGTTCTGCGCTGAGCTGGGGGGATGCGGGATGCTCGGGAATTAGGCGGAGATCCGCGCAGATGTGCGCGCAGGGATGCGCGGGTGCGGACAGCGGGGATGCGCGAAGCAGCGCGGGGCTCATGTCCTGCCCTGCCCGCAGCGTTTCCCTCCCGGCCGGCTGAGCCCGGGGCACGCAGAGCCCGGGGCACGCAGAGCCCGCAGCCCCCCGAACCCCCCGGAGCATCGAACCCACCAACTCTGACCCGCGGGAGAACCCGCGCAGCCCTCCGCGCATCCCCGTTACCTGCGGCGGCTCCCGGGGCACCCCGGGAGGATGCGGGAGGTGCCGGGTGTCTCCCCGAGGTGTTGGGCTCTGCGGGAAGCTGCGGGATCCCGGCGAGGCTCGGGGCGGGAGCGGCCCCGGGACGGGCGGGCAGCACCGAGCGCAGGAGGCGGTGGATGCGGGGGCAGCGGGGCGGCCGGAGCGGGACCCCCGGGCTGCTCCCCGCCGCAGCCCTCGGCTGGCACTCGGAATCACAGCAGCTTTGATTTCCTCCAGACTTGGGCTTTTTGTTCTCTTTTTTTCCCCCCTTTTTTTTTTCTTTCCCTTTTTTTATTTAGGAAAGGGGAGGGGGGTGGGTGCAAATTCTGCCCCATCCCGGCGGCTTTTTTCCTCTCTGATTCTTCTCAGGTTTTTTCCTCCCCCATCTGCTCGTTTCCCACTTCCTTTCCTCTCCGCCAACCAGCCCCCTCCTTCCCTCTCTAAAAAAAAAAAAAAAAAAAAAGGGAATAAAAAAAAAAAAAAAAAAGGCAAAGGGAAAAAAAAAAGAAACTGTGTAGTCAGGGCTTCCCAAATGCGCGCCCCCGACCTGGAGCCGAGCGCGCCCCCTCCGTTTGTTCCCCTTCTTGAAGCTGATTTTCATGACGTGGAGGAGCCTGATCCAGGGCAGGAGCGGCAGCACACACACACACACAGACACACACACACACACGCACACACCGCCCCGCACCGCCCCGCACCGCCCCGCACCGCCCCGCACCCCGCGCACGCAGCGCACCCGCGCTCCGCCGCCGCGCCCCAGCGCCCGCTCCGCGCTGCCGCTGCTGCCCGGAGAAGGCGGCGGCGGCGCTGGAGCCTGCAGCAGCCCCTCTCCTCCCTCCTCCATTGAGTGTGCCAAACAGCAGCTCTGCATCCTAAAGAAGATCATTGAGGGGCTCATTGCATTCCCAGCACGTTTCAGGCTTGCTTCTTTTTTTTTTTTTTTT